TACGTGTCGACGCACGTCGCGGTCTGGCTGTTACATGTCGCTAGCATTTATTGCTATTTCTCAGCAACTACAAAAGATATCAATTTGGTTCAAACAGATCTAACTTCTTTACGCTCTACTCTATTATTGGTTTATAATAATTATATGGAATTACTAGTTTATAATATTAACACCACTGCTTTACGTAAAGCGTGGAAGCGAGCGCTAATTCAAATTACGTTGACTGTATAGAAGCTAGTGTTTTTCGAGCGAAATGGATATCTTTTGTAGTTGCCGACATTAAGCAATAAATGCTAGCGACATGGAAACGTCTAACGCGACGTACGACGAGACGTATTCGCGCTTCTTGCTCACATTCGGCGCCTACAAAAGATGTCGATTTCCTTCCAAAAACACTGACTTCTTTACACTTTATTAAAATAAATGGTTTATAATATGAATGATACCACTGTCTTAGATAAAGCGTAAAAACGAGCGTACATCTCGACGTACGTCGCGGTCTGGCTCTTTCATGCCGTTAGTATTTATTGCTTACCTCCGCAAATACAATAGGTATCGATTTTATTTGAAAAGTGCTTATTTCTACGCAGATAATTTAATCGGAATTAGCGATTTATAATGATACGAATCAAACCGCTGCATTCTACTCGAATTAGATGTTTATAATAGTACAATTAATACCGGTGTGTTAAATAAAGCGTGGGAGCGAAAAATAAACAGAAAAAGCTGACGGCACCAAACAGCTTGACCGCGACGTACGATGAAACGTATGCTTGTTTCCACACTTTACGTAAAGCAGTGGTATTAATATTATAAACCAGCAATTCCATATAATTATTATAAACTAATAATAGAGCAGAGCGTAAAGAAGTTAGATCTATTTGAACCAAATTAATATGCCGAGAAATAGCAATAAATGCTAGCGGCACGTAACAGCCAGACCGCGACGTGCGTCGACACGTACGCGCGCGTTCATGCTTTAACTATAGCAGTAATATTTTTCGTAATATTATAAACCAGTAATTCTAATAGCGTAAATTGTCTAGAAATCAGCGCCTTTCGAACGAAATCGATATCTTTTGTAATTGCCGAAATTAAGCAATAAACGCTAACGGTATGAAAGAGTCTGACCGCAACGTTCGTTTCGATGCACGGTTATGTGCTTGTATACCGCCAACATTTTTTTCTTTATTTCGGGAATTACAAAGGATATCGTTTTCGTTCAAAAATCACTGACTTCTCCTTATTTTACTTTATTGAAATTAATGGTTTATAATATTACGAAAAATACAACTGTCTTAGGTACAGCGTAAAAACGCGCGAACATCTCGACGTCGCGGTCAAGTGCTTATATGTCGCCAATATATTTTGCTTTCATTCAGAAACTGCAAAATATATCGATTTCGCTCAAAAAGCACTGACTTCTCCATTTTACTCTAACGCAATTAGTGGTTTATAATATTACGGGAAACACCACTGTTTTAGGAAAAGCCTGAAAGCGCACATACGTATCGACGCACTTCGCATTCTGGTTCTTATAAGCCGCTAGCATTTATTGCTAATTCTCGGCAACTACAAAAGATATCGATTTGGTTCAAACAGATCTAACTTCTTTACACTTTATTCTATTGGAATTACTGGTTTATAATATTTCGAAAAACACCTCTGCTTGGAAAGCGTGGAAGCGAGCGTACGTCTCGTCGTACGTCGCGGTCAGGTTCTTTGGTGCCGCCAGGTTTTTCTGCGTATTTTTCGCTTCCACGCTTTATTTAACGCACAGGTATTAATTGTACTATTATAAACATCTAATTCGAGTAGAATGCAGCGGTTTGATTCGTATCATTATAAACCGCTAATTCAAATTACGTTGACTGTGTAGAAGCTAGTGTTTTTCGAACGAAATGGATATCGTTTGTAGTTGCCGACATTAAGCAATAAATGCTAGCGGCACGGAAACGTCTGACGCGACGTACGACGAGACGTACTCCCGTTTCTTGCTCACATTCGGCGCCTACAAAAGATGTCGATTTCCTTCCAAAAACACTGACATCTTTACACTTTACTTTATTAAAATTAATGATATATAATATTACGAAATGATATATAATCTTCTGGGATTCATAATTAATTTTTCTAAATCTAGTTTACATCCGTCAATTACATGCAAATACCTAGGTTTTATTTTCAACTCAGTAGAACAATCTATTTCTATCCCATACCAACGCCGGAATAAATTATTACAGTTAACTAGGAATATAATTCGCAAAGAGAAATGTTCTATAAGAGAGTTTGCCAGCTTCATTGGCTCACTCATCTCTGTATGTCCAGCAGTTCAATATGGTCTACTCTACACGAAGAACTTTGAGAGGGAAAAGGTCTTAGCTTTGAGTAATTCTAATGAAGATTATTCAGCAACTATGACGATTCCTCCTAACCTCCAAGCAGACTTAACATGGTGGCTTAAAATATTTTCGAATCCTAATCAAACTAATAAAATTAGATCTGGTAAATTTGTTCGCGAAATTTTCTCGGATGCCTCTTTGAACGGTTGGGGCGCTTCTTGCGGAGACCTACGTACACATGGTTGGTGGTCGACTAATGACAAAATTCTTCATATAAATTTATTAGAGCTTAAGGCGGCCTTCAATGCCCTCCGCTGCTTTGCAGCGGACCTTCATAATTGCGACATTCTACTCCGTATCGATAACACTACTGCTATAGCATACATCAACAAATTCGGATCGATACGATACCCCCATCTCACTGCAATCTCGAGACAAATTTGGCGTTGGTGTGAGGATAGAGATATTTTCATTTTTGCCTCTTATATTTCCTCGGTAGAGAATTTAATTGCCGATACTGAATCTCGTATTGCGGACCCAGACACTGAGTGGTCACTGTCGGACGAGGCGTTTTGTCGTATAACAAAACTTTTCGGGCCGTTTGAGATAGACTTGTTCGCATCTTTAATCAATAAGAAATGCGACTTATATGTTTCTTGGTTTCCGGGTCCAGGATCTATCGCAATAGATGCGTTCACCTTGTCCTGGAGGGACATATATTTTTACGCATTTCCACCTTTCATCTTATTACCACGAGTATTGAGGAAAATAGTGGACGACGGAGCAGTGGGCATTCTGGTGGTGCCCTGGTGGCCCTCCCAGGCCTGGTTCCCACTGTTTCGTCGTCTTCTCTTATCAGAACCGATTATATTGTCTCCCAGTCATTCTCTCCTCTCGTCTCCTTTCAGAGAACGTCACCCAGCCTGGAAGACCCTTTCCCTGGGGGTCGGGAAGTTATCAGGAGAGCTTTTGAGGCCCGTTTAATTCCATCATCAGCAATACCAGCACTATTAGCCTCCTTGTCAACAGCAACTATCAAGCAATACTCAAAACCTCTCCGGTCTTGGTGGAGGTTTTGTCAGCACAGTCGCATATCCTTCCATTCTCCAACTGTGTCTCAAGCACTGGATTTTCTTTCTCAGGAATTAACTAATATTTCCTCTTACTCGAGCTTAAATACTATGAGGTCAGCAATATCCCTAATATCTCAAGCCGAAATTGGCAATCACCCTATGGTTAAACGTTTCTGCAAAGGGGTCGCAGCCCTCAAACCGCCTCGTCCGAGATATGATTATGTTTGGGATCCGGCTCCTGTAATCGCCAAGCTCTCTTCTATTTATCCGTATGATTCAGTAGATTTAAAAACTATTACTAGGAAACTCGTTATTCTTCTTGCCCTCGGGACGGGTCATCGCGCTCAGACTCTCTCCTTAATGAGAATTTCGCACATTTCGTTAAGCGAGAAATTATTAATACGAATTCCAGATCGTATTAAAACATCGGCGCCAGGTCGAGCTCAACCTTTTTTCTGTTTCTCTCGCTTTGTGGAACATGAGAGTCTTTGCATCGTCCGTCTTATGGAGATCTACATAGAGAGAACTAGAAAACTGCGACCTAGCACATGTGATTTTTTGTTTATCGCTTTTAATAAACCGTATAAAGCCGTTTCAGCACAGACGGTAGGTCGCTGGATCAGGCAAGGTTTAGAAGAATGTGGCATAGATACCACCGTGTTTTCAGCCCATAGTACTCGTCACGCTTCAACCTCACGTGCAGCAGACAAGGGAGTCTCTATCGATCTTATTAAACGTGCGGCAGGTTGGACGGGTGAATCTCGAGTTTTCGCTGATTTTTATAATAGACCCATTATCAATCCGGAGGACTTTAGCAAGGCAGTCCTTTTGTCATAAGTTTTTTCGTTTTACTGTCTTTATTTCTTGTAATATCAGAGGCAGGATATATAGAAATAAGATCCTTTAAGTTGTTTTGTTAGTCAAAGAGACTGTTCTTTTCTGTATTTTATATTTTTTATATTCATTCCGGCACATGTTTTTTCTTTCTCTCACGGTTATTGTGTATTTTAGTTAAATAATATATTAATCTTGCTTTTCTAATAGAATCTCGATTCTTTTTCCCAAAGGCTAATCGCTGTCAATATGAACAGCTACATAGTGCTTCCATCCGGACGAGACATATTGGGCATAATT